GACAACACTTACAATAATAATACACTTACAAACAACACTTACAATAATAATACACTTACAAACAACACTTTTACAATAATAATACACTTACAAACAACACTTTTACAATAATAATACACTTACAAACAACACTTACAATAATAATACACTTACAGACAACACTTTTACAGAAATAATACACTTACAAACAACACTTTTACAATAATAATACACTTACAAACAACACTTTTACAGAAATAATACACTTACAAACAACACTTTTACAATAATAATACACTTACAAACAACACTTTTACAATAATAATACACTTACAAACAACACTTTTACAATAATAATACACTTACAGACAACACTTTTACAGAAATAATACACTTACAGACAACACTTTAATAACACACTTAAAACAAGATATCGCACTTTTGCAAAAAAATAAATAAATCAAGTAAAAACATTTTATAACAACAACATCACACTTTGGGGCAGTAAAATGAAAATATAATTAATGCGATTTTTAGCCCCCCGTGGGCCTTCGGATTTACTCTGCTAATATCAGGGGTGCGATTCCTCTCGATGGACACATCAGATAAACCTTATGTAGCTTTGCTATAAGAAAAACACACATACTCCCCCCCCCTCGTGGTGCGCAGAGCACAGATAAGGTCATTGTGTAGCTTTGTGCTTAACTTCAAAACTTTGATTTTTTTATGTTATTGATTGAAATAATCGTATTGTGAAATCAATGTATTTATTCTAATCAGCTAATAAAAAATTTCTATTTTTCAAAATATAATTAAAACAGTGTTTAATAATAATTTTATCTAGCCTAGTTTTGTAGGATCATTCTGATAACGTTATCTACATCCTGTTTGTTTTATTCTTTGACAGACCCACGTCACTGGACACGTGAGCACGTAGCCTTGTGGTTGCAATACATGACGTCACGCCATCGTCTACCTGCAGTGCAGTTAGATCGCTTCCTCATGAATGGCAAGGCTTTGTGCCTGATGAACATAGAAATGTTTGTTCGACGTGTTCCCCTCGGGGGTAAGCTACTTTACAAGGATTTCCAGCTCAGGTTGAGCAGCGCCCTCTATTGTTGATATTTATTAAGAGGAAAATATATGTAAGGCGTACGAAATTGTATCGTGGAGCTAGTCATTTGATGTGTGATATTCTGTCGTTCACCATTACGTTATTTATTCATTACGTCTGTAACTAACCGGTAATTTGGTTTCAGACGCGCTACAGAACTAAGCCTGAAATTAACACGTCATAGGACACCATCGAGTAGTTGTCCAGGGTGTGAATTTCGCGAAGTTTGTTTACCAGAAATGTCCTCAATTAGTGTTAGTTGTGAATTATTATTGTATGTACCTTAAAATCAGGAATTGTTTACTGCTAGAATCTTGTGTATCTTCCTGTTGTATCATGTACTAAGTTACTAATAAACTCAACAGAACATTTTGTTTTGAATGTAAGTTGATTGTTTCGTGATTAGTTCGTTGGTTTGTTACTTGGTGGATCCCTCAAACTCACACAGCAATTAACCTGCAGGTATAGAAGCTAGTTCCAAGATCTTGTTGCATTATTAGTCATTTCTGATGAGAGCAAGCTGGGCCGAGCGTTTCATTTCCACAAAAACACGCTCCGCACTTTGGTATCACGGGGGCGCTATAAGAGTGACGGCCAAATCCAGCTATTGGTGGTGGGTGCTGCCTTCCCTCTAGCCTTTTAAGTTCGTAAACTAGGGACGGTGGTGCGTAAATAACTTGTGTAGATTTCCACAAAAACACGCACCGCACTTTCTAGGGACGGTGGTGCGTAAATAACTTGTGTAGATTTCCACAAAAATTAGAAAACAAAGAAATGAAAGCAGATTAGCTGCAGACTGAAAAAAAAAACCGAGTAACTGATTTAATATACAGGTCTAACTATGACAATGAAATGGTATACAACAGAAACTTGTAATGATTAGAATTTGTTGGTTCTTCGGTTGAGAAACGCTGCCATCATCAACATTTATCATCCCAATGATTAGTTTTAAAAAGTCTGTACGTTGTCTGTTTATTAGAGCATAGACTGCTATAAATAAATTGTAACAGTTTTCAACAGCAAAATATTAAAGTGAGGTCACATTGAACAAAATCAGATAAAACCTTAGCGCTTTCGCCAGGTGGACCTGTCTCCTTCAAGTGTAAAGGTCAGCCGCGGTTTACTAAGCTTTTAAAACTCAGAATATTGAAAACAGTTGGCTGAACTTCGTGAAATTATTGTTTTAGTGCAAAGCTGCACAATGGGTTACCTTAGCTAAGCCCACTACAGGGATCGAAACCCGAATTCTATCGTTCCAAGCCCTTAACCTTACCGTTGAGCCTTGGGGACCTTTCAGTTAGTCTAACTAGTCCTATTTATTAAATCCATTTTGTAATTAAATATTTTGATACATTTCGGTGCTCTACATTAGCGAAATGTAACAGTTAGTGTATTAAAACGAAACCAATATTATCATGGAAAATTCCCTTACATTCATTCCCATTAAAGGAACGCCTCACACTGAATGCTGCCGGAAATACACCCCTAGTAACAATCTGTATAATAGTACTGTCTGTTGTATGTTCGTGTAACTACTTCGCAGGGTGTGGATGGAGGTTCATTAGGTCCTTGGGGAGATACGTGCAAATTTGTGGTTTCATATTTTCTGTTTTGCATTTTTTTTTATGTGCGTTTTTGCTTTTTTTTTTTTTTTACAATTATATATAAGGGAAGCAAACTTTAATTAATTATTAATTTACATAACTTCCGTCAGGGGACGGGTACCCCATCTAGTGATAAATATGTTAACTATGTAGGTATTGCTGCAGGAAATACACTCCTAGCAACAATGATAGACATGTTGACTTTGTAGTAACAGTCATTACTACAGGGTGTCCCAGAACCCTGGCCCCATCGGGGAAAATATATTATTTATTTATTATTCAAATTTCATGCCATTAACAGCCACACACACATATCAATTATTGGTATAGAAATGACATTAGAAATGTGTTTGTTTAACTCTAAGAATATAATGTCTATTTTTTTCCTTCTGGGACACCCTGTACAATAAATAAATCACGATGAATTGATGGTGTTAACTTATAGTAACAGAGTAATTTTTATAAGAAATGAGCTTCTAGCAACATCGATAAAAAAATGCTTTAACTGTGAAGTTACAGGAACATTACTACAATAAATTAACTCCTAAAGCAGTAATAAAGACATCGTGTGTCGTTGCCTCGTAACATAATTATCACTCTTAAAAAATAGTTCTAATGAAACAAAGGTCAAGCAAAGGTCAATAATAAACTTATTACGACACGAAATCACTAACAAAGTTAGTGTGTTAATTGTGCAAGCAGCTGTGAATTTATTCTCTTGAAGCTCACAAAATTAATACGTCTTTGTTTAGAATATATTATTCTACCTACCAGCATGAAATGTTTGTCGCGATTGGTCGATAGCGCATCACATGGTCTGAAATATGTTTCAGTTTTGCCTGGTTGTTAAGGCCGTTGCCATGTGTGCGTTTGTCGTAGCAAAAATTTGCAGACGACAATTTTTTTCCAGCATAATGAAAATATGATGATCACTTAGGCCTAAGTACAAATAATATTGTTACGTCTCCGTTTGTTAATTAATTTTCCGTAACTTCGTTCCGACGAAACTTAAGCGACACAAGTCCTTTCTTAATAAAACTGATTTATTCTTTCCGAATATAACTTTACCGATACACTCAACTTCAACAATCGCGTTAAAACAAACGCTAATCAACGAACGTCAACAATACTTCCGACTGCAGTTCAGTTACTCACTATCCATACACACATTACATTCCCCTTTTTTATATACCAGCCTACCCTATCTAGCAAATACTAGAGCATTCCTGAAAGAACAAGATAGTTCTAGAAACTAGAGGGCGCCACACCAGTCACGTGACCTCGATGACGCAACAATATGTTCAAACCCATAAAATGGATGTGGGTAAATGTGCAACATTTCAGTTACTCACCCATGAAAAGCTGCAGAGTTGTTTAGTCGGGAGAAAATTGTAGACGACAAATTTTTGACTTCAGTGGAAACATGGTGACTTACTTAGGCCTAATTTACAAACAACGTCGGAAATCTTGCCAGCATTCATTTTCTGCTGAAATTAGACAGGTGCGTACTCTATAGTTTATTGGTATGTAAAGTAAATGCTTTTAAATTCTTATTGGTTTATTTATTATTAATTCTTAAAATGAAATAAAAGTCTTCAAAGAAATGTCAAATTTTAAGATTTACATTTAGGCCCCGATTTGTTGGCTAAATATACTATGTGACAACAATCATTATATCAGATTTTAGTAAAACTGAAAACAGAAGAAAATGATTGTTGTCAGTGATGGAACAATAAAATAATTATTTACTGGCGATTTCGGGAAACTGTTGCCTGCATAATCAGTCAATAGTTGTTCACTTTAATAATTAATCATTGTATATATAACACATGGTTATTCTTTCATTGCCATATTCATAAAAAAAATTACTCTCTCAGTGCCAGGTTTATCTTTAGATATACAATAAACATGATTTATTATTTCATTATTTATTTGAAAGTTGAAAATGGAAAAACCACCGTACGTTTGAAGAGCGATAGATTTTAATAATTAACGACCGTATAATACAAGATTCAACGTTTTATTGGGTAGCTGGATTTTTCTGAGCTAGTTATACAAAACACTAAGAAACATTTTGATACAAATTCTTGTCTTTTTTTATATATTCTTATTCTTACAGAGTTTATATTTTATTTTAAAGGTTCTATATTTTCCTATCTATTTCTTGCCCACCAGACCGCGCTTGAGGACTTATAGCGTTAAATATCAGAGTTAGATCCTTACGTTGGGCACAGTTCAAATAGCCCATTGTGCAGCTCTGTTATTAAATAAAATGAAGGAATTTAAAATAAACTTTGTTACCCTTTATTCTGGGCATATTTGAACAATTTGGTTCAGTTAATAATGCAAAAACTTGTTAACAGCGTATTCCCTAAATACTTACACTTTGCTTATTACATCAAGCAAAGAATCTCAGAATTTCTTCACGTGAGTGACGTCAAACTGAAGCAGCCTTTATGCTAATTAAAACTGATCCACGTGATAGAAGAAATGAAGCTTTAATCAACCGACTTTGATAGGATTTATCTAAACTATAAACACGTCGTATTAATAAATGATCAGGAACGTCGAGAGCCAGCAGGGGCCCCGGGCCAAACATTCTCGCCGGGCCCCCTTTCTTGCTCTGTTTTTTAACACTTTTCAAGAATTTATTAAAAAGAAGATCCTAAATTAGGACAGCAACGAGCTCATAAACCAGACAAATCATAGCAACAGCCGTTTTTACCTCACGGTATTAGCGTAAAAACTTTAATAAAGTAACAACAAATATCTATTAAATCTATAAAGTAACAAATACATATTAATTATTACTTAAATTATTATTTCAGTCGTTCTTAATGTATCAAGTGTCTATATGCAAAGAAAAGCCAAAAACTATGGTTTTTATCATTAAATGAAGATATTGCCTAAAGATGCTTTGCGGGCTTTACGGCATAACCAGGTTTCATTCGCCCGAGCCCCTGGGCAGTTGCTCCCCCTGTCGGCGGACCTATATAACATACAGATATTGTCATAGACTGTACTCGACTATATCATTTCCAATTTCTCTCCTAAAATACACTAATACACAGAATATCGTCTTATGACGTAATATTTGATCTCCACTTTAAAGATTGCCACAATAGTGATCACTGTGAAATAATTACGATTTAGTGTTGTACTGAAATGTTTAAATTATTCTACTATTAGTGAAAGATTAAAAATAATACAGTTTACACACAGTATAATTCTCGGTAACTATCGCGTATACTTTACTGCCATCTAGTGAGAGATGGAGAAGTTAAGTGTAATTGTCAATTTACAAAGAATTCCATTCTACAGTGGCTCAGCGGTAAGTTTGAACGCTTATAATCCTAAATTCCGGGTGGGAACATTTTGTAGGTCTGTGATTATCTACAGACAAAAAAAGTAAAGAAGGTGGCCCTTGTTTTCTCTGAGACAAATCTGGTTGAAATCTCGTTATCTCTCAGCGCCATCTAGTAATAGGTATAAACAAAAGTACTAAGCAACATCACTAATGCCAAAATTATTTCCTAATTGAAACCATTTTTGCAAAAGTCATATACGACTTTTTAATTGGATAAATCTGGTTTTAAATATTTTCTGGAATGTTTGTCAAGAAACAAAACATTTTAAATCACTAAGTTATCTGAGAGAAAAATGACGTTAATTGAGGATGTTTTTGTTTTACATATCCTCATTAATTTGTTATTGCTGAGGCGTGTAAAATACATTTAAATTTCAAATAACTTCTTTTAATAATTATAAGTTATTTTAAATTC